TTTTCAACCTAAATGATTCTATGATTCTAAGTCCATCGGGCCTGAGGGGATTCATCTGAGTACTGAAGGAGCTAGCAGATGTTATGGCAAGACCCCTCTTGATCATCTACCAAAGATCTTGGGATTCCGGGGAGGTCCCTGCTGACTGGAAGCTAGCAAGTGTTACTCCAATTTACAAGAAGGGTGGGAGGGAAGACCCATGAAACTACAGACTTGTTAACCTAACCTCAGTTCCTGGAAAAATTATGATCATACTGGGTATTATTGAAAGGCATTTAAAGAATAATGCAATCATCAGGCACAGTCAACATGGGTTCACAAAGGGAAAGTACTGTTAGGGAAAGTCCTGTTTAATTTGATATCCTTCTATGATAAGGTCACCTGCCAAGTGGATGAAAGGAACACAGCGGATGTAGTTTTTCTGGATTTTAGTAAGACTTTTGATACTGTCCCTCACAGCATCCTTCTGGACAAGTTGTCCAGCTGTGGGATGAACAGGTTCACGGTGCACTGGGTGAAGAACCGGCTGAAGGGCAGAGCTCAAAGGGTTGTAGTGAATGGCGTTACATCTGGCTAGCTACCAGTCACCAGCAGTGTGCCTCAGGGTTCACAATTCTGGGGCCAGTTCCATTCAATACATCTATCAACGATCTGGATACAGGAGTTGGATGCACCATTAGCACACGTGCTGACAATACCAAACTGGGAGGTGCTGTTGACTCTTTAGAGGGACAAGAGGCCTTGCAATCAGATCTAGATAGACTACAGCATTGGGCAATCATTAATAGCACAAAATTTAACAAGACCAAATGCTAGATTCTGCTGATCTCTTCTCCCTGGTATCCAGTGACAGGAGGGGAAGGGAACAATGCTTTTCTCCTACGGCCTGCTTTTCAAAAGTGCTCAAAAAATCCTCTCTCATGAGAAATTAATACCAAAAAGTATTATCAGATGTTAGCAGAAAACAGGACAATTAATTTCTCAAAAGCATACCTCCAACTTCCCATCCAATAAATATTCGGAAACATAAACATGGAAGATTAAGAAATTAAAGTATTTGACCCTTCCAGAAACAAGAGATTAAAGCCCTGAAATAATCCACTAGAAAACATAAACAAATTAAAAGAAATGTCAGAAGAAAACGTGATCTGCTTGAAACAATTGCATGTCAATATCTTTGCTTTACTGCTGCAAGCAAACCTAAAGAAGTTTCATCCAATTGCTTTTCCGCTGAAAAATCATAGAATATAGAATCATTTAGGTTGGAAAAAACCTCTGAGACCATTGAGTCCAACTGCAAATCTAACACTGCCAAGTCCACCACTAAACCATGTTCCCAAGTGACACATCTACACGTCTTGCTGCCCTTGACATCCCCTTGCAAGCTTCAACTCCAGGTGAGCTCTGGCTTTCCCGACACAAACCCTACATGCCTGGACAATGTTTCTAACCTCCACCCTTGTAGCCAGACTCTGCCTCTACCATTAGACTTCCTTTGCCACCAGCACAACGTACACTGCTAAGGCACTTGCAGCTGCATAAGCTGTGCAGGCAGTGGAAAGTGTTCCAGCTACTTCTACTTCAAGCTTTTAAATAGCAATAAAAACAAATCTGGTTCCAACATATGAGCTCATAACAAGGACAGACCAGTGTCAACACTAAAGACATCGGCTACATACTGCTGTAATACAGTCTGCAAGAAGCATAGGCACGATAACTCCAAAGTCTTAAAACCTCACAAAGTACTTGTTTCTTCCTCCAAGTTGGCGAGTTGCATTCTTAGGATGAGTTAGTCGGCACTAGTATTTAGCAGGCACATGAGTGTGCCAAACAGCTTGGGGGGATAAAAAAAAAGCAGCCTCTTTTAATACTGCCTTTGTTAAAAAGAAAGAGCTGTAGGGCAGAGCTTAAGACTCAAAATACAGCACGAGTTATACTAGAGTAATATGGAGAATAAGAAAACACAGAATCTGATGAAAAAGCAATAAAAAATGGAAAATACTTCAGTACAAATATTTGAAACTGTATGCGTATTTACTAGATATTACCTTTTCCCATTTTTTAAAAAAGTAGATTAATTTAATGGAGGAAAACTAAAACTTATTTTCATACACACCTAAAGAAGTCACTCAGTTGTATACCTACTACTAAACTGAATTACCTTCTTCATTTTGAATAGTATTTTCAGATAACGTGATGTCAGTTTCCTGTGTCCTTTCAGAGAGGCCCATTTCCTCAATCCTTTCAGAGTGGTCTTTGGCCACATTAGGATCTTTAGTCAAGTTCATCTTGATCTTCTCAATAGCTCTTTGACACAGTTTATCTTTCACTTTCTGGAAAAGAGACATTTAATGTTAAATGCTATTTAATTTTACAACTATTTCTTTTATCCATTAAATTTACTGACTAATAGGATTACTTAAATTTATAAAGGATATAATGTGTGACATGAAGACGATCAGTCAAATTGAAAGAAGAAACACTTTCTCCATCAACACCAGGCACTGAAACCCCAAAATACTTTTTTTTTTTTTAAAAGGAAACCTAAAAAACATTAAAGCGACTGGACCTTTCCAGCTGAGTCCTGGAGAATAACTACCTCTGGATGATAGGCACATAGTGGATCAGCATTCTTTTCAACATTTCTATATACCATTGTCTTCCTGTGTCACTCTCCCAAATCTTACTTTACTTTTTCCATATTAATAAAAGCATCAATGTAAAAACTTTCACATCATTCCTGTAATCCCTTCCTGCTTCACCTTAAATCAAGCACCCTTTTCACGTTGCCTAATCTTGCAGTTACTTTGTAAGTTTAGGTGTAAAATTTCAGCTGTTAATTATTAACTAAAGATAAGCAATCCAAACTGTGAAAGACTTAATACTGAATTTTATTTTAACGTAGAAAAAATTAACTACATGACAGTTATCAAAAGAACGTACTGTACTGAAATGTATCAAGTTGGGCACACTGTTTCATGCTGGGTTTACTATTTATGGTAGCCGAAATACGTAAATTACAGAGTGGTATCAGCTCAGATTTTTGTAAATGAGTCAAAAATTGATTTTCAAAGACTGGTTAAAAGAGAAAATCTAGTCATTTTCTCATAGTAAACAAAAGGCACTTCATTTTTAAGTATATCAGAATACCAGAAATACCAGAAAATTGCTAGTGATTAAAAAAAGTAAGAACCGTATTATTTATGTACTACCTCTAGAATGTCATTGAGCAGAACCAGAAGATTCTCTGTGGAAGAACTACTGAGTTCTAGTGAATTTAAAGCTTTTGCATAAATACGAACATCTGGTGCAGTTGGGTCCGTCAAGATTTCATTGCAAATTCTCATTGCTAAACTGTCATGCACTGTTAAGTCCTGTAACGGAAAGAAATTAGATATCAGCAGTTTCACTGGGAACTATTTACAAGAGACAGCAATAAGATCATTCTGATTTAAGCAGCTAATGACGAATTTTACAGAATAAACATTTTCCTAAAATGCAGTATTTTGACTACATACACCAACTGATTTTTATAAATACTTTTCCCAATATAGACAATTAGCTACAGTGCAAGTTCCTACTAGCATTTTTAATTGTATGAGGGAGGGGAAATTGGGGCGGGGGGGTGCACACAGGAAGGCAAGTTCAAACTAAAAGATTGCATTACCTGAACAGTCACTTATTTAAGCCAGCTTCTGACACTTGGAATCTCAGAGAGGCCCAGACAGCTAGCAGTCAGTGAAGGGGGCCAGTTCTTAAGCTCTAGACACAAACATTGTTTTCCTCCAGTTTAACACGCTGTACCTGATAGTCCTGAGACTTTTTAGACTGAGGCTTCAGTCCACTTGGTCTGGTCAGGTCCACTAACAGTTCAGAAACATTACTGATATCTATTTCAGCCAAAGGTGAAGTTGCAGGAGCATTTAACAGTGTTTGCAGAGTTGGAAGATAAGCTTCTTCAAAGCATTCCTGGTTAGACCTGTTTCAATTGAGTCAAACATTAGTAGCATGAGACAAAATTAAACCTTAATTCACCCCTAAATTTTCTCTTCTATGATGAAAGTTCACAGACCCATTACAATACATCAATCAAAGCAAAGTGGGAACAGCAAACCTTGGTAGAGACAGCCAGCAGGATTAAGATATCAAAACTGCTTAGCAGAACCAATTTTTTTTAAGTTTTAGCACATGGTATTTCAAGTAAGTTTTAAGTGACACTTCCTGCCTCGGAAGAGTTTTAAAGTTCATCCTTACTACTGAAAATCTAACTGATATATACTGACATATTCTCTCTTAAAGGACAGAAATAAATTTCTCTAAATCTTTTATTTAGATTAATCTGTCTTCTGCTCATTCCTCCTTCCTGCTAGCATTTTTCTTTGAGGATATTTTTCATTGTGTAAGAAAGCAAGGGAGCCTGGCAAAAAATGCAGTGGTTAACAAGATTTTTTTGAAGAAATACTTGTGCTTTCATCACAAGAGTTAATAACTCCTGCCAAACAAGCCTAAAAATCATGTTGCACTTGGTTCTGCAGCAAGCTGTCTAAAAGTGTAGTTCCACAGGACAGGCCAAAACAATTTAAAAGGTAAGGTATCAAAAAATACAAGATATTAGTAGGTGAAGTGAAGCCTTTTTTGTTTCTGATACTTGTTAACCTCATATTTGAGCGCAAATAACTAACTACAGGAGAAAACTAAGAAAGTAAACAATTTCAAAAAAGCAGATTGTTTGGTGCTGGATTATTGAGCCAAATCAGCTAACCAAAAGACCTTTTGAGCAGTAAAACTGGGGCAAGAAACAGTGGAAGCAAGAACTCTCCTTTTCAGCAGCTTTAAGGCTTTAGATTGGCTCAAGCATAACTGAAGCATAATTCAGATTAATTCCATAAATTAAAAAAAAAGATAAAAATCTAGTAGCATACAGGTACAAGGCAGAACTTCTCCTCTTAGGCTGACAGAAAGTTTATTACTCGTTAGAAAACATTCCATGAATAAGATGGATCCTGTCCCTGTTATTAGTGTACCATGCCACTATATTGATGTGACAGAATATTTATAGAAGTCAGCATCAACATTTTTTCCTCACACAGAGTTCAAACGTTTAATTTCAAAGAGTAATCCTCTTGATTATATCTGTGACCAGATGAGGTTAACACAGCAGCACCCACAAAACAAACGGAATTTTAAAATTTGGTGAGAGGTCAATACCAAAACTAGGTATGAACCTCAGCCAAATTATTACCTGAGTTTTCTGAATAGCAACTTTGCAGACAGGTCTGAATTACACATGGCAATTAATAATTCTCTTCTGAAAATACAGTATTGGTAACAAAAGACACTCCATGAATCATCTTAAAATGAACTCTTTGTGATCCAGAACGCAGATAATGTTTTGAGACAGAAAATTAATGATGTTTCCTAACTAAACAGAGATTCCAAATCAATAAGCCAGACTAAGATTTAGGATTTTTTTTTCTCCACTGATTTTCCCAATTTTTACTTAAAGCATACACCATGTTTTTCTTTTCAAGAAAAAGATCATCTGTAAGGTGCCAGAGGGAGTTGCCTCATTTGCAAATGACTTTGAAATACATAGAATTACTCAGGTGGACAATCATTAGAACTCATAATTAAAAAAAAAAAAATACATTAAAAAAAAAAAAAAAGAGATTCATAGGGTCAGAAGACGGCATTCACAGGTAAAAGATTATCAAGGTTAAAAGCTTAAATTCAGTACTCAATATCAGAGATACCGAAAGCAAATGCAATTAGTTTTTCTGTTACTTATTTTCAAAAGAATTTAAGTAGGGAAAATCCCATTCTGGAGGAGACTAGGTATTCTTTTTTTATTTTTTCTGACAACAGCAAAAATACATTTATTTGGGTTTTTTTTCCTCTCCAAACCAATTTCCCTTTTAACTACTCCTCTTAATGTAGCAATTTATAGGCCACAAAAATATTAATTAAATTTGGTTTGGAAAAATAGATAAGGTAATATATTAATACGCCTAAATTAATTCTTAACCATAAAAAAAGCATATAAAAACTCAGCTAGTTCAGACTGGCTAAAACCACTAGCAGCAACTGAAAATGTTAAACATTTTTTTCTTTGAGTAACTGAAAGGAGATGAGAATTACTGTTTAAGCTCCTATCCCCTTACATAAGCTCTCTACCTCCTTCATCCACTACGAAGAAAATAAACAGGAGATTTTGAATCTGCTGTGAATTTAGATTGGAGTATTCTTTGGTTAATAAAACAAAGAAAACAAAACCAAAACCCAAACCACAACCAATCACTCTGCTGCTTTGATATCTGCTGGGCACTGATTATAATTCCTGCACTATTTTTCAGTGATACTTCAAAGTCTACCTGTAGTGCTCAACAGCACAAATAAGTAAAGCACATCTTTTAAAATTGATCTTTCATTCAGTACCTTGAAAAACAGTTTCAATTATAGGCTTAGGAAAGAAAAAAAAGTGGAAGGCCACAGGGGTAAGAGGGAATTAATAGAAAGTATTCAGAATAGTCACAGGTTGAGATTACGTACATTCAAAAGTAATATGCATAGGAGACTGAACTAGACCACTAGCTCTAACTTGCATTTGTGCAATTTCTACTTGCGCAAGATCAAAAAAGGTTCCTAAAGCTGCTAGACCAACATATATTTTCACATAACAATTTACAAAGGCCATACCTATTTGCATAAGCAAATAAAGGGAAAAAAACTCCTAGACAGTGTCTAAGCCGAGTATCCTCTTCAGTCACAGGATTATACCACAACAAAACAAGACGAGATAGAAGTTTGGCACTAATCAGCCTCCCAGAGAACATCAGTTTGGCTATACCTTCTGCAGTTTCTGTCCTAAGTTCTGAAAACTGAAGAAAGAACAGATCATATACACAACACACCAACCACAGGGGGTTTTACTAATACTTTATAATAATAGTCTACATCCTATTTTGCCAATCAATTCTCTACATTCACAGATTTGCACCTGCACAGAATTCAAAGCTATCTCAAGAGCACAATTAGTCTATATCAGTGACAAAGTTGTGGTCATTTTCCAGGACAACTATTTTAACATTAGATCATTAAATTACTCATCATGCAATATTCACATGCAACCTAATGGGATGGTAAACCTTCTGCAAAAATAATTTTAAAACAAAACTAAGGTAAATTTTACAGTACTTCTTACCTCACTGTCTAAGAAACCAGAGAGAAGCTGCAGGAGGCTGTGAATCGTAGCAGTGTCCTCCTCCTCTATTTTTTCACTTTCTTCTTCACAATTTTCTGTTCTAATGTGTGCATCTTCACTTCGAGAGTCATTGCCTCTTCTGGCTTTAAACGGCTCAATCCCGAACAGCATTAGTTGATCAAAGATTGCCTTTAAAGCACTGAGCTTTACCTTTATATTATCTATTTGTAAAACCTAGGTTTAATAAGGAAAATACAAACATCATCTTACAGTAAACCACCAATGTTAACATTAAGCATAATAAGATTGTTTGCTTTAATAAGGTTGTTTAATTTGGGAAACTTTTCATAATACTTCGGACAAATTTCAGACTTTAGGAAGCTGTGATACGAGTTTAAACCTGAATTTAAAACACATTCTGGGAAATAACTTAAAGTCATCTCTGCAATTTCCATTACATAAAATCAATTGAATTAAACTCACGGAATGAGCATGCATGTGAGATGTAATTTTATTGTTCAACTTCTAAACAGACATTGGACAAACAGAAAGTCTATTTGCCTACAGTAGCTCCATAGTGTTAGGCGCTACAGAAAAAAAATACGTAAGACAATCCCTGCTCTGAAATACTGTATAGCTTAATTAAAATAAACAGTATGTAAAAAGACAGCAGAGCAAGATAGTAATAAAAGTCAAAGTTACATAGGTTACTATATGTATTATAGTTCAAATTAACATTCAAATAAAACCATACATCATAGGTTAGCCTAGAGATCCTAGATCTGTTTAGCCCAACACCCTGCTTTTGATGGCAGTCTACACAAAGAATATGGGTTTCAGTATCTACAGAAATTAATTATTTAAGTCTGAAGTCTAAGCTGTTAAAAACAACTGAAATTCTCCCTAAACAAACACAATGATTTTTAATGAGACATACTCAAAGGCAAATTAAAAACAATAGTATATGCTAACTTTTTAGGAACCCGAAGTAGTCCTGCTATGGCAGCTGACAGCTCTATTATCTTGTCTGAGCCAAGCATATCATCTCAATGTCTGCTGTCAGTTCTCTTGACTGTGTATATGAACACACTCTTAATAAAGCACGATGGCCACCTACACTTCTCTCAAAGCCAAGGTATGAAAAGTTAATGATAGTGTCATCTCTTATACAATTAGCTCAGCATCAGAACATTTACCACAAAGGTGGGAGATGTGGGTATTATGACATCCAACATGCTCCATATACGTTTGGCTATGCTATCATTTGTTGGTTCGAATATTGCTTCATCTTCTAATTAACAACTCTTCCTTAATCCATACAAAATTAATAATTCAGAAATTAAATCGGACACCCAAAATCACAGGTAAGTATGTAACAAAAGCGTAAAAACAATTGCAGTCACATTTTTAGTTTCGTTTCCCAAGGAAGGAAGGCTTACACAATCCTACAGCTTCTCTTTTCTATGTTGTAATAACATAAATACATGACTGATTTCACCCAGATTCAGAAGAGAAAGTGAGACCTTACAGATAAAGAATTCCTACCAACTTTCAAGACAATTGACCTTGCAAAGCAAATGCATGCTACTACCAAGATATAAGCTTGAATATTATTAGACATCAGAAAAATCTACATGAAACCACACTCTCCAGATCCAGATCTTTAGGAAAACGGGAATCACTGGTTCTCAAATAACTATGTGGAACAACTAGTTATAGATACAAGACTAGTTTTACTTATTAAGTCACACAGACTATTGTTCCATTTCCCATCAGATGTTTTACCTGTAACAGCAATGCAAGCTGTTGCTGGGCAAATTCTTTGTTCTGAAGCGCACAGCAACCCAAACACAGAACTGCCATATTTCTCACAGCTGGATGGACATTAGTTATGCCAGGAAGTATCTGGAAACAATAATACTAGACTTTATAGTTGCAACACAAAAATTGAAAATAAAAAACTGATTAGTAAAATGTGCTTACCCTGAAACTAAAAATAAGTTAGTTTGATACAGGATTGGAAAGTGGTAACTATTATATATTCTGTTTATGGACATATAAACAGAAGCAGATTGAGTATGCTGTTTGAAATCAGCAATAAAATAATGGCAAAAATCACATGAGTGTTTGGCTTTGTGTTTGTTTTTAATAAATATTTGTTTCAAACAAAATTGAGTTGACCACTCATTGTGAAATGAAATTAAAAAAAAAAAAAACAAAAAACCCACCACATAACAACAAGCCTACACATTTCTTCATAAAAGACATTAACATTCTTGGAGAGAAAAAAATATCCAGTTCTAAGTTGCAAATTACAGATGCCACTTTCATGTACTTGGAATAGTTTTGAGAAGACAATGGTAAAAATCCACACAAGAGAAAAGCCAGACTAGATACAGGGTGAACACTACAACAGCATCATTTTATATTTTTGCATTTACTAAAGAGTTCAAATTTAAACAACAACAAATAACATATCCCAAATCATATAATATGTGAAAATCTAGCAGGAATAACAATACAAAAGCAGGATCTTGGAGAAAGAAAGTGGAATAAACTACAAATGTGAAAATTAAAGAAAGATGTAATGAAAAAAGTTTCGGGGGGACACATTAACACTAATCAGGATTTCTAAGAATACTTCAATACAGCCGAAAGAAATTAGTTGCAGTTCCACTACATTTAAGATAATCTAAATTGCTGTTGCAATTTTCTTCGCAGTTTGAATTCTAAGAATGCCGATAGTGAGTCAGGTCATCTAGCCCATTGTCTCGTTATCAAAAAAGATCAAAACCAAAATCCTATAAAGTATTACATAAACAGACTAAGTAGATACTTCCCAAAAATTCTTATCAAGGTCCCAACAATTTGCAGCTGAGACACACCAGAGCTGGGAGGCTGCTCCTGTCCACCTAATCATTCCATAATACTTATTTTTCTTGAACTTGCTCAGTCTTCCTTGAAATTTATGCAAGTATTCACCATGCACACATCCTGTGACAAGGAATTCCCCAGATCACATATTATGTGAAGAATCAACTAATTTCATTCATTTCGAGCTTGCTAGTTGCTAGCTTTATGGGGTGATCAACCAATCCTTACTCACTTTCTCCATAATGCCCATGTCTTATGACTTCTGCCCTCTCTCAGACCCTACCCCTAAAGTCCTCTCTTCTCCAGGTTACGAAGAGATAACCTGTTTAGTCGTTCTTTATACAGAAGCCATTCCCATGCTTTCCCTTGCTGCGCTTCTCTTGACCACTTCCAATTCAAATATAAACTTCATAGATAGATGGGATAAGAATTGCACAGAGTATTCAGATGTGGGTGCATCATTCATACAATGGCATATTACTTTTTTCCCATTTTGTTTGCATGCTCACTAACAGTTAAAAGTCTGTGGTATTTAGAAATGTTCATCTTAAAATCCATACTCTCCACAATGAAAACTAGGAAGTATAGCTTGTAGACTATAAGAGGCCTATAATGCTACTGCCTTATTTTTTAATACAGAAATATTTTGCTCTTCAAAGGTGCTAAGAAAACAGAGGGGAGTGGGGGAAATCCCCCCAAACATCCTTCTTGTACATGGAAGGGATGAAAGAAAGGTCTATATGAATTCCACTCTT